TATCATATCCCCAGGTTCCCAGGACGATGTCATGGAGTCTTGAAGGCCAATTTTAGAATTGTGCCTATGATAAGATTTCTCATACCTTCTTAGAGATGTGTGACATGGTTCTGAAAATGTATCTCCATATTTGGTTACATTAATGGGGATAAAGTGTTTCTGATCAGGTGCTGATTATCCTCCTGTCTTCTGCACTGAACAATCCATAGCCAGAGTACTGCATCTCATTCTAGATGTCAGAAATAGGAGGGAAATGAGTATATATAACTGTCTTAGTCTGCTTAAGCTGCTGTAACAATATACCATGGATTGGGTGGCTTATAAACAAGAGAAAAAATTTTTTTTCACAGTCCTGGGGAGTGGAAGTTCCAAGGTCAGAATGCCAGGAGATTGGGTATCCAATGAGGTCCTTCTTCCTGGCTCACAGACAGCTGACTGCTTGCTATACCGTCACAAGGCAGAGGACACAAGGGGTCAGTTTCAGAAAGGCAATGATGTGGTTCTGCCTTCAAGACCTAATCACTTCCTGTTATGTTTTAAAAGTGAAATATCCCCCAAAGAATCATGTATTAAGGGGCTGGCTCCCAGTGCAGCCATGTTCAAAGGTGGGTCCGAAAGAGGTGATTGGACGGTGAGAGTGAGGACCTCATGAGCGAATCAGTGACTTCGTGAGTTCAGAGCTGAATGGGCCATTAGGAAGTGAGGCCCCATTGGAGGAGATACGTCACTGGGCACACCTTTGAAGGTGCATCTTGTCGCAGCCCCTTAGACTCCCTCTCTCTCTCTCTCTCTCTCTCTCTCTCTCTCTCTCTCTCTCTGCTTCCCAGCTGCTATGAGGTCAGCAGCTCGCTCTGCCATCCCTTCATTCCCTTCTGCCTCACCTCAGGCCTGCAGCAACTGCACCAACCAACTGTGAACCGAAACCTCTGAATCTGGGAACTGAAAGAAACCTTTGTTCCTTTAAATTGATTTATGTTGGGTATTTTGATCACAGGGAAGCAGAACTAGTACTTCTCCTAAAGAGGGGTAAGAATTTGTGGAGATATAAACATTCAGTCTATTGCAAAAATTAAGATCAAAATGGGCCAAAAGACAAAAGATGTATTCGATCTGAAGAGAAATCAGAAATTCCATTCAACCTAGCTATTCCTCTTCTAGGGATCTTTCCAAAAGAGTTAAAGACATCATATCACAGCTCTGTATGTATATGTGTGTGTGTGTGTGTGTGTGTGTGTGTGTGTGTATCCATGTTTACAGCCGCCCAATTCATAATAGCTACATCTCAGCCTACATGTCCATCAACAGACGAACCGATAAAGAAAATGCACTATTTATACACAGTGGAATACTGTTCTGCTATAAAGAAGGATGAATTTGAGTTATTTGTAGAGAAATGCACCTTAAAAACAATGTGAAGCGAAATAAATCAAACATACAAGCTTAGATGTTGTATGATTTCTCTCACATGAGAAATCCAAAGTAGAAATAAAGAGCAAAATAAAAGATAAAAGGAAACAGAAAGACATATCTACTGCAAATGGGAAAGGGACCAAGAGATAGAGGGCACGGATGAGAGTGGGATAGGAATGTAAAGGAGAGGGTGGGAGAGGGATGGAAAAAAGAATCAAGATGTGTCCTGTACATGTACCAACTACCCACAGTGCAAGTAGTCATCATGCCTCATAAACGTAGATAATAAATACATTTTTAAAAAGAAGATATAGGTAAAAGGGTCAAATATATAATTTTAAGTGAACATAAAAAATAAACAGAAAATACGACTTGTCTCATATACATTAAACATATTGACCCTAATTTGAATTGCTTTCCCAGTGGAAATTAGGTCAGGAAGCACTTACAACACAGACACATACCCCAAGCTAATGCACAACTCTTCCAACTAGAACAGGAGGAGATACAGTCCAACACATTTTATCAGCCCAGAAGGAAACTGATAGCAGAGCTTGACAAGGAAACTACGAAACAAGGAAGTCACAGGAATATCTCTCACATCAACCTAGATGTGCACTTATTTTTTTAAAAGATTCAAGCTAGGCATGATGGTGCACACTTGTAACTCCAGCTCTTCTGGAGGCCGAGGCATGAGGATGGCAGGTTTTAGGCCAGCCTGGACTACAGAATCCCAAAATGCAAAATGCTAGAGCCATAGCTCAGTGTTCTCTGGGTTCAAACCCCAGTACCACCATAAAATAAAAAATAGAGTTCAGATACATTATATCTGAAAGGATACAATGATGTTACAAAAAAAAAAAAAAAAAGACAACACATCATGCCCCTGACCAGGGTTTTTTTTGGGGGTGGGGGAATTTTGGTTTGAAAGGTGAGAGGATCTTTATCTTTATTTTTTGGTACCAGGGAACAAACTTGGGACCTTGCGCTTGTGAGGCAGGTGGCAGAACCACTGAGCTAAATCCCCGGCCCTTAGTATCTTTATTTTAAAATTTAAAAATTCAGTGAATATAAGTGGACAAATTAGCAGATTACATAAACGTTATATCAGTAGATACAGATAAGCCTTTCAATAAGCTAGAGCAATCCCTCATAATAAAAACTAGAAGCTCATGGGAGTTAAAAGGGAGAACGTGGTTTCACGTCCCTGGCCTATGAAGGGTGGCCAAGGGACTTGAACCTGGAGATGAGAAGATGCCAGGGTCACACGATAACCATCTTTGAATAATTTAAATGCTGTAATGTAAAAAAAGGAATTTGTTCTGCCTATCTCTAGGCGTAAAATCAAAACCCATGGATGGAAGCTCCTGAAAAGTTTTTGGCTCACTCCTGGAAAGTGCTTGCTAATACAGCTAGACATGGCAAGCTCCTTCCCAGCAGCTACTCCAGTGTAAAACAGACGGAGACCTCAGAGCATCCTTTACAACCACTCCGTTGGTCCAAATCTCTTGCGTTTATCTCTTCTACCTGGTATGGTTGTGCCTGTTCTCAACCATGATGTTGAATGTCACGGTTTGAAATCCAGCCCACCAAGTTTTTCCTTCCAGTTGCCTATTTCTTGGAATCAAAGTCGAGTGACAGAAAATATGAAATGACAGGTTAAAAGGAGAAGAAGAAGTGGGAGCCCCAGGAAGATGCATCAGAGTAGGCAGATGTACAAGTACAGGGCCAGGGGAGCCATCTCTGGAGGAGCGATCTTCGGAGTAAGAATCTGAAAGGAAGGAAGAGCTAGTGCCAAGGATAAATAGGAGGAAAAGGCACAGGCAGGATAGGGGTGCCATTGAGTTAGATCCGAGGACAGCACAGGGTCCCAGATGCCAATGAAACTAGAATACAAAGAACAAGTTCATGAAGCAGATTCATAGTTAGAAACCCAAGGGAAACTTACCTGGTCTTCATCAGATGGCGAAGCTTCAAGAATCTGAACTTGTCTCAGCAGACAGCCTTAGTCCTGGGTGGAAAGGCAACTTGCACAAGGCCAAATAGACGGTGAGTTCAGGTGTCAAGAATGAAACTGGGGGTAGACATCCAGTGGGGTGCAGAGTAGACATCGGACACCAGAGGAAAGAAGCTCGTCCCCGGGTTCGAAGGCCTGAATCGGACGTCAACAGGTTGGAAATCCAGTTGCTGAACACTGGCTCCCAAAGAAACCAAGTCAGGTACTGCGAGGCTGATTCGTGGTCAGAATGTACAGTGAGAAATCCGATAGGAGCTGCAGTACCAAAGCCCAGCAGTCCCTTTGTGTGGTGTTTCCCAGAGTGAAGACTGAATCCAGAAAGTAGAATGGGGACAGTCCAGTAAGTGTTATGTGATACACACATGGGTCACAAAGAGTTGGAACAAGAAGTGGCCAGAGGTAACTAGGTCCCGGATTACCAGGGTGAACTGTCCTTGACAGCTCAGAGGCCTGACAGGAGCAGAATCTGTCACTTCGGCCTCAAGTTTCTTGAACAGCTAGAGAAATTACCCTCTTACATATAAAAGATAATAATGGACTCCTGTTTCCACGGCTTTCTCTTTCAGTTTTGGAAGTCATCTGTGCAGGTAGAGAAAGCACAGACAGGTGTCTCACAGGCGGCCTATGGTTTCTTTACCAAAGTCACTCTGCTCTGTGGTCAACCTCCCTGTCTGAAGTACTCTAATCTGCAGCTCACATAGGGAACTAGAAATTCTTTTACTTGGTCAAGAGTAGCACAGCATCTGAAAACAAAACTACCTTTGTAGGGAGAAATAGTCTCACCCAGGTCTAAAATATCAAAAATCAATAGTCGTTCAAAGCATGTTTGCTCTCTAAATAAGCGTTCTTGGCAGATGAGCTAGGAGTGGGGAATTAAAGTGCAGATTGGCACGGACTGAACCCATTTGTATGTTGAAGCCCCAATGCCCAGAGTGTGGGTATTCAAAGATAGACAACTTATCTCCCAACGTGGACTCTAAACCTCTAAATAGCAGTGCCATCATTTTTCACTTTTTTTCCCTTTGCCCTTGCATTAAAGGCTACCAAGGACAGTAAGCAAATGGCTAATTAATTCCTCTTTACCGTGATGTTATACTGATCCACCTAACTCAGCTTCTGCCCCTGTGGAAGGATCCTCACCCTCAATTATTCTCACCCATGACCTTCTCCCCTACCTCCTGAGGTCAGAAAGTACTGGGAGATCTGAGAGTTGTTTTAATGGAAAAGTGCACGAAGACCCTCAGGGTCTCTCCCTCAGGCCCCATATTACGAAAGACTCCTAATTCCATGCATAAATCTGCCTTTTTCCATCACAGGATGTCACGGTTTGTAATTCCGTATTTGTGTATTTGTGCACCTACTGCCTGTTTCAATCACTAGATTGTAAGCAGTCTGAAGGCAAGGAGGGACCACGGGCCTTGTGTACCCCGTGGTGTCCTGAGCACAGCACGGGGCCTGGCCCTTGCCAGGTGCCCAATACACGTCTTAAATGAATGGAGTTTCCAGCCAAGTTTTTGCATTTTTATGCCTCCAATGTAAAAGCAAAACCAAGCATACTCTTCTGCTCTTTCAGACGACACAAGATCTACAAGGAACAGTTGAACCTCACCTCCCTGGACCCCCCAGTGCAGCTCCGATTTGACGCCAGCTGGGTCCAGTTCCACCTGGGAATCAGTCGCCAGGGGCTGTACTCCCGATCCAGCCCCATCGTCAGCAAGCTGCTCCACGACATGAGGCACCTGCCCACCATCAGTGCTGGTGAGGCTCAGGGGATCAGGCAGGATGGGCTGACTTCCCCCCGATGGGCTGGCTGAGCCCATCTTGGGCCAGATGTCTGGATTAAAACATTACGGGGTTTCCTCCTAGAGAGGTTAAATGAGAAGAAAACCATTTTGCTTTTGAAAGAGCTCATATAAATTTAATCTCATCACAGCCCTATAATCGAGGCACAAGGACTCTTAAAGATGACCGCTGCTATTTACCGAACTGAACTTTTGAACTGGGCCGTGTCTTCCCTCTTAGACAATTACTTGATGGCACAGACATTACGACTGCCATTGTACAGGTGGGAAAACAGACTCAGAGAGGTTAACTAACATGGTAATCCCAGTACCAGAGCTGGGATTCAGGGTTTGACACACAGGCCTGCTGACTCCAAATCTGCACTCTCAAATACTACCAGCCATCTACGTGACACAACGTTACCAGCAGAGACCATACTAGAGTGGGCCTCCATGACAGGTGTGGCTGGAATGTCCACTGACAGGGTGGAGCAACAGGAAGACGGCAACCCTGGCCTCTGGGAGCTCCCTTCCTGAGTGGTCAAGGCGGAGAGCCACAGGTTACATCACAGCCACCCCTGCAGCTGGTCTGCATTAGAGCCAAGGGCCCTAGTGTGGTTGGCTGTCCAAGGAACATGGCTGCAAGCTCTCATGGGCTCCTCTTCCTTTCAGATTACAGTCAGGACGAGAAAGCCTTGCTGGGGGCCTGTGACTGCACACAGAGTAAGTGCCTCGGCCCCATTTCCATCCAGACCCCTCACAGCACAGCCACGTGAATCCCAGCATCTACTCCAGTGGGAGAATCTCTGCTTTACCTCTGAGGCCTCAAAATTCTCCCAACCCACCCACAAAACGACAGGGCATATAACAGGAAGATTATACTGGTCAAAATGTGGTTCAGGGACAAGCATCACTGGCATTATTTGAGGGCTTGCTAGAAATGCAAAATCTCAGTCTCCAGTAATTTTTCCAAATCAAAATGTGAATTTTAAATAGCCATAAAGTTATCAGAGTGCATATAACAGGAAGATTATACTGGTCAAAATGTGGTTCAGGGACAAGCATCACTGGCATCATTTGAGGGCTTGCTAGAAATGCAAAATCTCAGTCTCCAGTAATTTTTTCAAATCAAAATGTGAATTTTAAATAGCCATAAAGTTATCAGAGTGCAGTTGTATGTGACAGTGGTGTGTGATGGTATCTACATATAAGAACCACCTGGAGAGCTTTAAAAAGTGATGTGTCAAGGTTAAAAGTTTAGAGAGTCCTAGGCCTCTGCCTCCAGAGGATTACGTTCAGTGACAGAAGGGGGAGGCCTAGGCATCAGCATCTTAAAAATGCACCAGGTGATTCTAATGCAGCCAAGGCTGTGATCCACCAGAGTCAAGACTGCAATAGAATTAAAAATCTAAAAGAATTTTTTAAAAGGTTTTCCTGCCAGGAATGAAGTACACATCTATAATCCCAGCTACACAGGTGGCTGAGGCAGGATTGTTCCAAGTCTGAGGCTGGCCTGGCCAACTTAGCAAGACTCTGCTTGAAAATGATAAAGGAGGAAAGAAAAGAGAGGAAGAAAAAGAAAAAAGAAAAAAGAAAGAAAGAAAGAAAGAAAGAAAGAAAGAAAGAAAGAAAGAAAGAAAGAAAGAAAGAAAGAAAGAAAGAAAGAAAGAAAGAAAGGGAAAGAAAGAAAGAACGAAAGAAAAAGAAAGGACAGAAGGAAGGAAGAAAGGAAGGAATGGAGGGAAGAAGGGAGGGAGGAAGAGGAGGGAGGGAGGCTGGGAACGCAGCTCAGTGGCGGAATACTTGCCTATCATGATAAGGTCTCCGATTCAATCTCTAGCACCAACAAAACAAAACAAAAACCATTCCGGAAGGCTCGACACTCAAGTCCCCAGGCCGGTCACATCCACGTACCTCAACCCGCTGAGCAGATATAAAAAAGTCTACATGAGATGTGGCGTGAAAGCCCCAGGCGTCCCCTCCCTTTAGTTCAGCACCTGCCACACCCATTCTTAGAGACACTGTCCTGACCCCCACGGGGCTCTCAACAGGGCTGAAAGAGTGAAGCAGGATGGGGAGAAGAACAGGGGGCAAACGGAAGGGAGCAGCACCCGCTGTACCCGAGGCACACAAATCTGCCAAACCCTCAGCCCAGCCCAGGGGCAGAGCCCTAAACACGGGGAGACAGTTAAACGTGTCTGCTACACCAGCTGGCACGATCAGAACCGACGAGGCTGCAACTGAAACAGGAACTGAAAGAGCACAAGATGGGTTCTTAGTAAAACATCCTTTGGGGTTTTCGGCTGCCTCTCTTTGGAGATCCTGGTACCATATGTCCTTTCCCAGATTGGCAGAAGAGGTCTGAGCCCCGGAACACATGCTCCATGGCCTGCCAGGATGGAGTTCACCCTGCTTTGAGAAGCAAGCCCTAGTGTTTAGGGTCTGACTAAATAGGAAATCAGTTGTGTTTATGGGACGACAGCAGCACTGTTAACCTTCCCCTGTCACCTTCCCAGTCGTGAAGCCCAGTGGGGTCCACCTGAAGCTGGTGCTGAGGTTCTCGGACTTCGGGAAGGCCATGTTCAAACCCATGAGGTAAGAGGTGCCCTCCACGTCGCCATACCTAGTGTGTCAGCCCTGGGGGAGCTCTGACCCCAAAGTAGCAACCGTGGCCCGACATCTTCTCCCCAGTCCCTTGGAGACTGTTTAAGACATTCTGCACTGAGCGCACAGCTGCTTTTCATGGTAATAGGCACAGTGCAACAGTCAGAGCTAAACCTACCCTCTTTACTAGCATCTGTGCCACACACCCTACATGAACTGTGTCTTTGGATCACTCCAACCTCATGAGCCAAGTGCTATTTCTCTGTCCACACTGAGGTGAGGACTCCAAGGCTCTGGGCAGCCAGCTCTTCCCACTCTCACTGCAAACAGGGGGCCCAAGATTCAAAGCCAGGCACCTGACCTGCTAAATTCACACTCTCCCGCAATAACAGATCTCCCCTTTTCCAGGCCTAGCACTCTCTGACATCAAAAAGTTTACAGACCTCTATCTGACAATTCTTGTTTTGAAAAATTCAGACAGTGAACTAAGCTACTAGAAAGTCGATTACAGGCAACATTAACTTATTTTGTATTCATAACAATAGCAACTTACATACCTTTGAAGTGGTAGTGAACAATATGTAGTACCCGATATGAAATAATACATATCTTAGCTTACAGATAAGAGCTTGGTGTATGTGGGTGGTTTTCTGGCATCCAAGGGTAAAGAAACTCATAGATTGGGGTCCCCTGAAGTAAGGCTCCCCTATCTTGGCCCCCTGGAGATGACACACATGAGAGAGCTGCAAGAGGGCCTCCCACAACCTAAGTCACGTGTTCCTCTAAAATAGGGGCTGCAGATTTAGCTCAGCAGCACCATGCCTGCCTTGCAAGCACAAGGTCCTGAGTTTGATCTCTGGTACAAAAAAAAAAAAAAAAAAGAAAGAAAGAAAGATTTAAAATGTCCTCAGGTAAATGATTTTTCAAAGCTGTATACGAAATTTCTGCTCATATTCACTGATTTTTAAACTCTATCGTACAAAACAACTTATAAATTTAGAAATATTGCCCTGCCCCACGTGCACACATTCCACTTGCCAACTTTTTTTTTTTTACATCAGTCATCACCACTGCTAGAGTCAAACATGGAGTTGGTGTTAAACCAATAGTAAAACTTGGTCCCATTCCCTCCCCCATCACCACCAGCAACCTGTTAACCAGTTCCATCAGAAAATAAAAATAATACCAAGGTAGATTACTTCAGGTTAATCTGTCTCAGTCAAAATAACCTCACTAAGAGGGGCTCCATCGTTTGAGAAGCAGAAAGAAAGGACTCGAATACACCAACACTACTTCTCTGGAGGGACGGTTTTGAGAGGGATGTCCTCTTATAGTCAGGCAATTAAAATCACTGAAGTAGGGCCAGGGATTTAGCTCAGTGGTTCCGCCGTTGGCAATTAAAATCACTGAAGTAGGGCCAGGGATTTAGCTCAGTGGTTCCGCCGCCTGCCTTGCAGGGGCAAGGACCTGAGTTCTGCCCCCGGTACCAAAATAAATAAATAAATAAATAAATAACAAAGTAAAATCAATGAAATATACTTCTTTAAATTTTTATTTAAGAGATGAGGTTTTGCTATATTGTCCAAGCTGGGCTTGAAATCCTGGGATGAAGTGATTCTCTTTCCTGCCTCCGCCACCTGAGTAATTGTGTGGTTTTTGTGTGTTGTGGCACTGGGAATTGAACTCAGGGCCTTCACACGGAAGTACATCCCCAGGCCCTCTTTGATATGATGGCCAGCTGAATAAGAGAGCCACCACCAAGGTACTGGAAATAGAGGCTTAAATTATTGTCACACATAGCCATAGGCAGCATGAGGAACACTGATGTAGGGGCATGAGACATTAACGAGAAGCAAAACTGTAGTGATAAACCTGCATATTCACCACAAATCACCAGATCCACAAACTGCACTCTAGAACAAAAGCCATATATGGTGCAGAAGGACATCTCTAAATCAAACAAACCACAAGTGAACACGGAGGAGATGAGCTTCACCTTCACATATCAGCAAGGAACAACTCTTAATGTTATGTTGGCAGCCCAATGCAGGAATGCAAGGAACAGCCACATCCCACTCTGCCCAGTCAATTACAAACTAATAAAAATCGTTCAACCTAACCCACTTCTCCCTATACCCCTCTGAGAGTAATGCCAAAGTCCCCACCACTGGTTAATAAGAGTAATTTTACCTATGATGCTATATCCTAGTTTCATCTACAGTTTTATACGATTGAGTCCAACAAATCGAATATAGTATAATTTTAAAATGTATTTCTTAAAAAAAAAAAAACTTGCAGCCAGGGATTTAGCTCAGGGGTTCCGCCACCTGCCTCACAAGTGCAAGGGCCTAAGTTTGATTGCCGGTACCCAAAAACAAAAAATAAAAATAAAAATTGCAATTTTTCCTGGAAGTAATTTAAAGTGGAAAGTATTTATTTTCCAGTACTGAAGGAAAGTAGAAATGTATCTTTGGATACGATATGTACATTCTACACATAAGGGGGAAGCTTTCAAATGTGCCGTACAATCCACCGCACATGTGGTTTCAGAATACGAGAAACACTGATGTGAAGTAAAACAATTTTCGAGTTTAAAGACACGTCTGCCATCTGCCCTACAACAAACAACATTTCAGCAAACCCAGAGGGTGTTGAGAGATTACATGCTCCTATGGATGGAATTCGGGAATTAAAACGTCATGGAGACAGAGATTGTCACTGCTGGCACAGAATGTGCTAAAGCTAAAGAGAAGTGAGTCAGGGCTGGGCACGGAGGCCATCCCAGACATGTCTGCACCTTCTGAAACTCAGTCTCTACTCTTGGCAGCAGAGACTCTCCATGGTTTTCAGGACTAGCTTGTTTTCTCGGCAAAGTGCACATTACAATTCAGCTGTGGGTGCTGCTTACGGCTCCCTCCCACATTATGTTTATTTACATGGCTTTGGCAGCCTTCATAACAATTCCACATAATGGATTATAAAATTACTCAAAGATCACCATGCTTTCATGTTTATTCTCAAGATAAAGTCCACCTAGAGACTGGAAGTCACCCCACGATGTCTTAATGATTAGGAGGCACTTTCCTGTCACACTGGCAGGCTGGCTTTGCAGGAATCCATTAGTGAATTTTAAGTGTATATAAATCAGTATCTTCTACACCAGCCTTCCTCAACCCTCTGGCTGGGCCCACTCTTAGTACTCACCTTAGTTCCCATGAGGGGACAGTCCCATGTTTCTCCCAAGCCAACCCGAAGACCCAGAATTACCCAGTTCAAACCTCAGCCACGCACAACTTCACTTGCAGGCCACTCCCCATGACCAAGTTCTGCCTCACACCCACCTCTCATCTCGGGTGTCTAAGTCTGCAAGGGCCTGGTTCCAACCAACCCTCTCTCCTCTATTTATATCTGCAAAAACGACATCTGTATTTCTTTCCTTGAAACTGCTGGGTTTTTTAAAGAATCAGCCACTGTCCCTAAAGCTGAAGTGGGAAACTTGGTACTGGGGGCACCTACAGCACAATGTCCTGCAGGAAGCCTGATTCTTCCTACTCTGCATGTCTCTTCCTAGTCCAGGAAGCCACAAGCCATTCCTGATTTGCCATTCTGTGTGTACATGAAAGACATAAAAGCGTGTTTTTCTTCCTCCTGAGTCCTTCCTCTCAGCTGTCTTCTCAGGCTCACAGCTGAAGTCTGAGTCCAGGGCGTGACTCCTTCCTTCCTTCCAGACAGCAGCGAGATGAGGAGACGCCCGCAGACTTCTTCTATTTCATTGACTTTCAGAGACACAATGCTGAGGTTGCAGCCTTCCATCTGGACAGGTGGGTCCGCCCCACGGGACATGGTGTCAACTCCAAGGGCCAGTCCCCCAGGAGGGAGCACACTGGGCAGACCCTCTCAGCTAGAACTTCCTGGTATTTGTTCCTTCTGGCTTTTTATCTTTTCCAAACCTCAGTGTAATGCCTTCAAACCCCCTGCAACCCATGGATTAAAAAACACAAGGTCTTCTAATGTAGTGAAATGAACATTTATAAAGAAAACAAACCCTGCCACAATGCTCACGTTGCAACCTTTGCTGTGACACTACCCTTGGCTCTACTCCCCCCATCTGAAAATGAGAAGTTGCCCAGTCCCATTGACCCAAGGAATCTTAAGGTGACAATATTAGGTGACAGCACACCCTGAACTTCCAGGTTCCTCTTCACTCATTCACTGCTACTGAAAGCGTGGTCTGTGGATTCCTATCATGGGCACCATTCAAGAACTTTCTAGAAATACAGACTCTCATCCTTACCCTAAGTCGGAACAAAATCCCCAGATGACTCTTAAGCACATTTAAGTCTGAGAAGTGATGACCAAGAACAGCTTGGAGGGTGGGAAGGGCTGCACAGGATTCTGATGGAGTAAGTATGTGTTCTCTGCCCCTTCAGACCCAGGTTGCTCTTCTCTGTGAAGATGCCCTCAAGCAGCCCCTTCTGGGTATGACAGGAACACCTGCCTTTTCTACCATGTGCTGAGCCCAGGAAAGGACTTCTCCCTGCTTCCTGACCATCATCCTGATTCTGACAGGGCTCCTTCTCTTTCAGGATTCTGGACTTCCGACGGGTGCCACCAACAGTGGGAAGGCTAGTGAATGTCACCAAGGAAATCCTAGAGGTCACCAAGAATGAAATCTTGCAGAGTGTTTTCTTTGTTTCTCCAGGTAGAGTACAAGCCAGAGCGATATTCCCAGTGTAAGTACGTGATGAGGCCATGTACCCACAGTCACCTTCAGCAGCGGTCTGACTCCCTGCACGTGCACTATTGGGATGGCGGAGGCTGCCGGAAACTCCCACCCTGGTCTGTCTGAGCATTAACACAAAATGAACTGTGGATGGGGAAAGGATGTGTAGACCAGCCTGTGTGGGCACCGAATCTATGACATTAGCCTCCCTGGACCAGAGATTATCCCATCCTCGGAAGCAAAGAATATTCAAGTCACGTGGATAGGATGCAAAGAAGCTGGGTGCCACACTTTCTCTGCTCTGAGACATCTGAAAAGCGGTACTCAGGATGATCCGTTTAGGAACATTCCCTAGTGCCCACATCTGGAAATAGCAAGGTTCCCTTCTACATTTTCCCAAACTGGGAGTTCGGGGTTCCCTATCCTGATCCAAAGGGATTTCTTGGGGCAGACAGATGGCAGGCCTTGAAGCCATTCCTTGTGTGCCTGTTACACAAAATAACTCGCTGTATGTCCCAAATCTGGCTGTCTCTCTGCCCCACTAGACCCAGGGGCCAGATGTCAACACCCACCATCATAATAGCGCAGGTCAGACCGCCGCTGAATGTGACAATGGGCACACGGCCTCACCATGTGCTTCTCTCGCCTCCTTCATCGTCCAGCCAGCAACGTGTGCTTCTTCGCCAAGTGTCCGTATATGTGCAAGACTGAATATGCGGTCTGTGGCAACCCACACATGCTGGAGGGCTCCCTCTCTGCCTTCCTGCCGTCTCTCAACCTGGCCCCCAGGCTGTCTGTGCCCAGCCCCTGGATCCGCTCCTACTCTCTGGCAGGAAAAGAGGAGTAAGTTGGCACTCTGGCCACGATACCATGCTAATGATGGCCCTGCAATCCAGTCAAGGGGCCGTAGCTGGACCCCCAAGAGCTTCCTCTTCACTTCATATTAATACTGGGACCAGCTGGATTGAAGTGTTCCGTCCCTTTAGTTCATTTATTTGGCCATAAAAAGCCCAGTAGGTGCCGGAGGACATAGAGATAAATGGCACCAGTTCTCTCTTCAGGAATCTTCTGGGTCTAGTGGGGTAGTAGAAAGACAAATAGCCAGATGATGAATAGACAAGAATATTTTCGGTAACAGAAGCACAAGGGAGCTGTGGAATACAGGTTTCTCTGAGCAAGACCCATGAGGCCAAGGACCTACTGGCTGTATCCTCAGGGCCTGGGCATCCAGGATTAGTTAACTAGAGTGATCAAGTCCATTGTCTATCTCAAGCACAGCCGAAAGAAAGGAAGGTGTGGTGAGGGACATGACAATCTGTGAAGATGCAAGGGTGCACTGTAGGCAGAACGGGGGGCGGGGGGTGAAATGACACAGGATGGCCATGGGGTTATGAACTGCAGGAACACCGGAGGGCCAGGGTAAGAGGAGTGCGGAGAAAGCAGAACAGAGGCAAAGCACTGCTCCCCGCAGTCGGCCCCATGGTCCTCACTCAGCCCAGCACCCAGAGTGGAGGACTCAGAACCTCTCACTATGGGACTCTGCTGACTCCCTCCCTCACATCCTTGCCCAGAGTCCTCCTGAATGGGCCTAGCTCCACTGGCATCCTGAGAAGCTGTCACCAGCCCAGGGCAGGGTCAGCAGCGGGGGAAAGCGCAGGGAGGGACCCTCACCTTGCCATCTTGGCTCTTCCAGCCCCAGTCCTTCTTGTCACCCTCAGGTGGGAGATCAACCCCCTTTACTGTGACACAGTGAGACAGATCTACCCATACAATAGCGGCCAGCGGCTCCTCGACATCATCGACATGGCCATCTTCGACTTCCTGATAGGTAGGTCCCAGGCTTGGAGCTCCCGGCACTGTGAACACCAGGGGACAGGCACCCACCAACAGCCTGCCTCAGGAGGGATGATCCACCAGTACCTCCCACAGCTCAGCAGGGGAGGAGGCCCACGCAGGCAATAATACGTATGCTCCCCTCTCTCGTCCCTGTTGAGTTGGGCCCACCACCTGCCACAAGCATGAGCCGATGTGAAGGAAGCCGAGGAAGCCCAGTAATTCCACCTCCCAGCCCACAGGAACAAGGAAAGGACAGGGCGGGAAACAGCCACACACTACCCACTGTCTAGCGCTAAACAGACGGCTCACTGCCAGGCTCCTCAGGAAAGTAGCCTGTCTGCTGTTCACAGCTGAGGTGTCAGGGTGGAAGAGCCAACATCAATACGCACAAGAGGCACAAAGGCACGTCTCTGGGTACCAGAATCCCCAGCCCGGGCTGAGGTGGAAGCAGTGGAACTGCCAGCCACGGCCAGGCTCAGACTCCCCACTCTGGACCGCTGGCGGGCCTTCATTCCTGCGAGAGCTCAGAAACCAGGGGCTGCTTAGCCTACAGAACCCATCTCTGACCTCTTCCTTCCTTTACAGGAAATATGGACCGTCACCACTACGAGATGTTTACCAAATTCGGGGATGATGGATTCCTTCTTCACCTTGACAATGCCAGAGGGTAAGTGACAGCACTTGGGTCCGAGCTGCCCCCTATCCAGCCGTGCTCCTCTGTGCAGCTGCTCAGAGGAAACCAGGGGCCCCAAGGAGGGTCTGCACTGTTATGTCCCATCTCTATCTTGTCCTACCTTCCTGCTTGCTTTTTGCTCTTGATCTCTGCTACTTACCACTGATTCTCCTCCAGCCACAACACTCTTGTGGCCTCTAATGGGACAGGCTGGCGTTTTCTACAATTTTCTTAATCAGTACACTGCTTATCGTCAGCGGGGGCCCTCTGCAGCTGGGGAATGAGGAACGACTGCTTCGTATTAACCAAGAGGCTTCTGCGACCTAACTGAGGATAAGGCAGTAGGAAAGGCAGCCGCCATTTTTACTCTAACTACGGACTGAAAAAAAAGCTGAAATAGAGAAGACAGAGCATTTTAAGGGATTGAGAAAGATGTTGCTTGGTGAAACCTGTTTCTTCTCTTAGGTTTGGACGACACTCCCACGACGAAATCTCCATCCTGTCACCTCTCTCCCAGTGCTGCATGTAAGTGTTCAGGCAGGGGTGGGTCAGAAGGGCAAGTGAGAACTGGGGCACTTCATTCCGTGGCAACCGAGCTCTGATATTCACTGGCCTGGGATATGGGCAGGCAGAAAGGCACGAACTCCCTCATTCCCTGCACAACTATCAAAATTTCCCCAGCAGCACCTCACTTTCTCATCCTTCAGCATAAAAGTGCATTAGGAGCTAACCTTTTAAACCTTTCGATAGCCAACTTTAAGCTGTAACCCACTCAGATAATCACCCACTTTCGCAGAGTCTGATGCCCCTTGACATTACTTACTCAGACCTCTGCTTCACCCGGCACTCATACAGGCTCATAAATATTATCTGATCACCGTGAGTGAACTCCTGTTAAGTCTGAGTCACATCAGAAAAACTGACAAGGGGAAGGGACAAGGGAAAGGGAGATTGAAAATGACCAAAATATGTGCCAATTCCCCAAAACTAATCTAACTACTTAAAAAAAGAAAAGGCCCTACTGCATTCACCTGGCCAAGCTAGTAGGTTAGAGGACATCTAACCTACTTCTACATTCTGGCATTTTCACCAGACTCGTGAAACTGTCCACCTTCTCAGTGACAGCATCCAGAGATAATTATAGTGATTCACACCTAGCAAAACCATCCCACTTACTTCCCCCATGGGGAAGTCAGAACATGAACATACTTTATCAACTTCTTAGCTTAATCTACACCTGTCTCCCTTCCTGCTTCCTTCAACCAGCCTGAGCAGGATATAGCAGGAGCAGCTCATGGCAAAAATCATACAATATGGCATTTGTACTCAGGTCTAAGTTGGATTCCTGCATAAAAAGCATCAAAATCCTAAAGGCAAAATTATCTCATTCCATTTCTGTCCCTCTGATTTTAGAATCTGACCAAAAGAAGCATAAAGTTAGCAAAAAACAATTCGGAGGCTTTTAAGATGACATCATCATTTCATTACTGGAACCTTCTTCCCATTAGTTTAAAATGGCCTTTAAAACCCTATGTGTCCCTTCAGGTTTTTCATTTTGTTTGGTGTTTTGTTTTGTTTTGTTTTGTTGCTTTTTGAGACAGGGTCTTGCTCTGTAATTCAGGGTGGCCTCAAGCTCAGTGCGATCCCCCTGCCTCAGCCAGAGTGCTTAGGTTACAGGAATATGCCATCACACTGGGCCAACGCTTCAGTTTTGACTTCTTTTATCCATGTCAAAGCAAATGCAAATGGTCTAGCATCACCATGGGTGAAGTTACAATTAGCAGAGGTCACATGGGTCAGCATGCTCTAGATCTAAAAACTACTAGGGAAAAGCCTATCACTTTTATTCATTCCCTTATTTTACATGGTTTTCATTAAAATGTGCTGAAGACAATGGAGATGAAGGCTCTGAGGATACCAGCTGCAACAGCCGTTTGTGAGGAGGGGGCAAATATAAGCTTAGTTAGTGTCCTTATGTTTGCTTATTTGGTCCCTATGACTTTTGTCTTTTTAGGATAAAACAGAAAACACTTTTGCACCTGCAGCTTCTGGCCCAGGCCGACTATAGACTCAGTGATGTGATGCGGGAGTCGCTGCTAGAAGACCAGCTTAGCCCTGTCCTCACAGAACCCCACCTCCTGGCCCTGGACCGAAGACTCCAGATCATCCTCAAGACAGTGCAGGGATGCATACAGACCCACGGAAAGCAGAGTGTCATAGCCGATGGCCCAGCACAGCAATCAGTCCTACACACAGGCCAGTCTAGGCGGACAAGCTAAGGACCGAAGAGCCAAATTTCACAACCGATACCTGGAGCCAGTGGTGGACTCCGGAGTGCAGACCAACACTTCCTCACTTCCACTTTGCAGTCCTGGAGGTTGAATCACTAGCTCAGGAAGGAAGGAGGCGGGGCGTGTTTTGAAACAAGTGGGACCAACTTGGCTTGATTTTTACCCCTTGATAAAGATGGCTTCTTCTATAGTGAATTGCCTTGGCTCCATCTTTCCCAGAAAGCACTGCCTCGATCAGGCTACAGACTACCTTCCGGGAAATCTGGACATGGATCAGGCTTGGAAGCCTGTTCCCAGGAGTTTAACAATCAAATAAAAGGACATCAAGTGAGTACCTGACTGTCCTCCAGATCCACACGGTATCTACAAGTAAAGGATAACTCCTGGTCCAAATAAAACTTCTGAAATACCTCAAGCACACTCAAAATCTGCAAATGGTTAATCAAACCGGTTCAACTCAGACTTCACACTTACTCCTTGTATTCTCATCACTAGCCCAATCTGAATACAATAATCCCCACTGCCCAGTCCTACAGTAACTTCTCAAGAAACTCTATCACAGAACACAGAACGTAGCTATAAAATAGGAATTTGTTCAAAACATCACATAAGGGGAGTTTGAATCTGAAGAGTATTAAATACCAACTGAAACATCAAGTACCTTCAAAATTAGTATTTAGTAACAACAGGTTAAATTGTGACAGAAGGAAAACAAGGGGAGTTCTCACACAGGATAGATAGCATGGGTGTGGCCTATCAGGTATATGAGCCTAGGGCAAAGCAAGAGAAAGACTGATGCCTACCAAAGCCCACAGCCACATTCCTTTTCCCAGATATCTCAGAACCTTCATCACCTACCTATAAGAGCATGGGCCATCTGGAAAGGCACAGCCCTCCCCTTCATACTAGCGTAGAAAGGACTAAATCAAGTGTCTTTCCCAATCTTCCCTGAAGAGACAGTAGAGATTCCTATCTCCTATTTATCATTTCTGTTAACATCTAAAACCCTTTTTAACCGGAACCTTTGTTTCCTACTCCATATGACTGAATTACAATGACAGGAATGTATTCATTCCCTGGACTGATTAGTCAACAGGTAAAAATAATTTCATCAGATAACTTCTGATAAAACCAAAGTCTTAAACACTGGAAGTGAGAGGGGAGTAGGAAAAAGCTGCCACTAAAGAGAGAAAAAAATCAAGAACTTGAAGTATCACGTACTACCTTTGTATAATGTCCAAAGTCAGTCGAATGGAACAAATAATAATAGGTACTTCTGACCCATCCTGGTTTGCCCTGGTTTGCCCTTATCTCTCCCTAATAACATCACTACCATTCACAGAGTCCTTATCCCGTGCAGGGAGCTTTACCCACAGTACAGAATCAACATACAGGTTTTCCAATACACCTAAATATACCCACACACACCTCCAATGGGCAAGGAAGACAACTAAGGCTTAGAGACACTAACTGAAATCACACAATTAATGATTTAGACTCATTCTAAAGTAATGCCTTCCACTGAAATACAAAAATCCAACACATTCAACTCAACTTATGACTCATTATGTTTGCTTAAAATGAAAAAATCACCTCTTTAACAGAGTAGCCCAGACATGTTCCCACCAGCTTGAACACACATGTGCAGCCCAGTGGTGAACATGTTAACCCTAGAGACTTCTTTAGCTAAGGCAGCCCTACTGCAGCTCAGGGCTTCCACTTCATTAACTGCCTCCTACTACTTCAAGTCATTTTTTTTTTTGTCTTGTGGAGAAGCCAGAAAATCACACCCAGAAAAATGAGCAAAAAATATTCTAGAAGACATTCAAAGAAAAGCACAAAGGAGTTTGGAACTTCCAAACCACAGAGCTTCAGGAAGATAAATTATAGCTCCATCTCAAATCGAGCCACTACAATGACTACAAACTAGCTTTTAAATGGCACATAAATATTTTGCTATACTTCACATAATAAAATAGAACTGAATTTGACTGTATGTCACGGCTATATACCTTATCTTCAAGATTCCATCATTTTATTACTAACAACAAAATTAAGACCATCATCACTTGTCAAAAATACCAGAAAATAAAGCATTCTTAGAACTATCAAGTTCTCCAACTTGTTCACTCTGAACCACTGCTCAACTTCCCCTGAAATAAATACATTTTCTCCTGACTGTGAAAACATCCTGTTACCACTGACAGCAAACAATACAGTATGTGAAATAGTAGAGAAAGGTATTTGGGGAATTTGTTACAAACTTCTCAAATCTCAGGACAATTTGAGACTGAAGACTACAAAAGAGGCTAATTCTCTTACACATAGTCTATAAAGTTGACATAGAAACTGAACTGGCAAATATGGAATCACTGATCCTGGGGGAAATCTAGGAAATCCCAGGCCCCTGGTAGTCTCCCGTCTCATTCTGGCCAACCCATCAATATATAACTTTGTTTTATGTATTAAAGACACCTTGTTTTATATTCCCAATTCCTTAAAGTTATACTCGTGGCCAAAGCTTATCCAGTAAACGTACTTTCTACAAAAGGTGCTTTTTTTTTGGAGTTAGGAACACTTGTCAATACGTAAGTCCTATATACTTGAAGGCCTTTTAAATAATAAAATCATCAACAAAAAAACACACAAAAACATGCGACACTAAAAAAGGCCAAGAAAATGACACTTATTCAGAGCTGAAACAAGGCTGAATGTCCCCTTGATTCAACCTCACCTGGGGAAGACGCGCACCAGAGACTCAAACTTTACTGCTCTGCTCAGGTCCTCGAATGACTATAAAAGCACTAAATACTGTGGTAGTTTGGGGTCACAAATAAATCTTAGAAAGTAGGCAGATTTGCAAATACAGAATACAACAATAAAAGGAACTGATCTGAAACTAATAAAGATGATTTTTAAAAACTCTCCATCTAGTGGCAACTTTTAAAATCACAAAACTAAGCAAAAATGGTGAACTTTTACATAAAACAACGAACAAACCAAAAAAATACCACATTCACTGGTGCTTTTAAGTTCTGGGTGGAGTCAAGTCAGTTTCGAAGTAATGTCAAGAAACAAATTTTCACTATATATATATATACACACACACACACACACACACACACACACACACACACATCAATGCAAGTTTCCTCACTAAAACCCCATACCCATAAGAAAGGACAGCTTTAACATAACACCTTTTAAATTAACATAACCACAGCCTTTACACTAAACTACTATGACAGATACTTTGGGGGACAAACTATATGGTTACCCTTAATGTTCTCTCGGCTGGACTAAGAATATACTACCAGGGCCTAACCAAAGTACAAAAATGGTGCAGCAATTTGTGGTTGGAGATAAAGCAGAATTTTAAAAACAACAAATACCAAAAGCCTTGACATCATGCTACTTCAATTTTAAAATATCAACACTGATGGCATTAAACAAACAAAAAAGAGACTGTGGGCCACTATTTTAGAGAGAGATTTAAGCTACAATGAAGACAACCAACACTGACAAACCTCCTTCAGTTATACCCTGTTGTGATTCTCAGAATCTGGACAAGGTGGGCATGTATCAAAGCAGCAAAATTTTCTTCTGGCACCAGTGCATCTGAAGAAATTAGTGTCAATAAACTAATGAGTATCAATAAACTAATACACTAAATAGCATAAATATATTAATTAATATTAATAAACTAATAAACTAATGTGTAATAAATTAGTTATCAATAAACTAATTATTTCACCCTCAAAACCTAAAGAACAAGCATTAGAAATAGGGCTTTACTCATGCAAAATTTCAAAAGCATTTTTAAGTAGCTAAACGTGTATCTTAAATTTAAATCAATGACATACTCATCTAGAAATGATACTTCCTCATTAAATATGGGAGTTCCAAGGCCACAAAACTAATCTACTTTCAATAAAAAGGAAATCTTTGGCTTCTGACCGAATCTTTCCTTCTATGCCTAGGTAGGTAAGTCTGCTATATTTCAATTATCCTTCATGCAAGGTTAGGAGATCCAGTCTTTGACAAACTGAATTACAAGCACAGAAAATACACATTATTACTCTTTCAAAACAGAGATCCCACAGTTCACTTTCCCTTTTCATTCTTGCCCTCCAGAGTAGCAGATTTCTGGTGAAGGACAGAGGAAGAGAGAAAGGAGAAAGAGAAGAAAAACGGATTCATTTAAGAATTTAAATTTAATCTTTTATTACTTGACCTACCATTAAGACACTCTATAACAAAAAGAATAGCATACATTAGCACACACAGTATAACCAGACTGATGACCAGGAAACAATACAAAATGGTCCTCTGGCCATCTATACTTTCTAAAGCAGATCTCATAAAGTGACTCATCGAATCCAGAAATAATAACTCCTTAAGCCCTGAATATCAACTAAGACAAATTACGCCAACTGTGATTTCTCACACATACTTAATTGCACAAAGAAAAAGCTTTAAATGTAGTAATTGTTAAATTTAGGCTTAGCTTAAAATGTCTAAGATTAAAAACTACAAAAGGGAGTACAGCAAGCCAAATGGTTTGAGTAAAATTCATTTAGAAAGCAGTATATGTATCAATACACATGAACATGATTATATACATATATGAAATTGCAATTTCATGGCATTCTACATAATTCAGTTAAGTACATTTTTGGCATTTAAACAAAGATCAAATCAAGCTTTAAGCTGATAGGAACATAATTTTTATTTTTGTTTTAAATATCAAAAAGGTAGCCAAACACAAAGGTAAGTACAGATCATAAAAGCCTCATTTAATATCGATTTTGAAAATTAAAATATTTTAACAAGGTGGCTATCCCACACTATAATGTAAATAAAATTTCTCAGGTTTCTACTCCAAATTAGTAACAACCTAAAAACTTTTCAAATCTATGAAAAAAAACCTACCTTGGCCAATTTAAATTGCCTGGGAAAGGATAAGAGGGGATTATTAATCAGAACCAGTTGCGCACAGGTGGAAAGTAGTTGCAGTCACTCCCAAATATAACCCTGCATAATATATATAAATCACAATGAAAATAAAAGTGCCTACATTATGGAACTGTGAAATTTTGTTAAAAAAATAATAAAAAAAATAAACTATTGGTATCATTGGAATAATGTAACACGTAAGGCTGGAAAATACTGAAACACAGTTAAGACTCAAAACACAAGTTTACTTTAAAAAAAAGAAAAAAAATGCCACAGAAATACAGAGCAAACAGTAAAGCCAGACATTGAGCAGGATGGCCTTTTAGACCACACACAAACACATCCTACCTACCTCTACCCCATCAGAAATTCTATTTGACATTAAAAAAAAAGGAGGGGAAAAGGTTATACCCAAGTATAAAAACTTCTTCCCAAATCTCAAGCCCCAATGAATTTAGTGGAGGATAATTTACCAACACTAACTTTATCTACCTGGTTCCTCCCATTAGCGATATAACCTCCATTTTTCTGTATGACATTTATCCCATCTGTATCCACTGAGCAAATCTAATCTCTTGGAATCAGAGTGTACACAGCATAAGAGATTACACTGGAGTTAACTGAAGGATCTACATTAACCAAAAGTTCTAAATTAACAACCAAGAATGTAGATCTCAAATTTTTATTCTCGATTTAGCATCTCATCATCAGTATTTGGCACTAGCTTGATAAAAGTCTAATCAGAATCTGTGGGCCGAGGCAGATGTAGTTAAACCATAACCCAATATTTGCAGTCTCTGATTTGATTTCAAACTTAAAAGGCAGATAAAGATAGCCACACATAAAAACATTTCAGAATTAGAGATAAAACATTAACAAGATATAAACATATCAGGTAAATTTACCTTGGCAAATGAAAATTCAGGTTGAGGGGGCTAAAACAATCATATCCATCTGACAATTAGCAAAAACAGGGGGGGCATTTTTCCACTCAAACTAGTTTAATTACAAGCATATGTCTTTCTACTACACTAAGATTTTCTATATCCATTTTTCCTAACCCTTAGAGCTTAATGAGAAATCATTTAGTCTATATAGAATTACAGCATATACATGGCCACAGTCTAAATAGGCTTATAATCAGAAATTATATCACAAAAAATCTAGCACTGTTACATCATTACTCTACAGAATTTCACTGGTGCTGGGATCCACCCTCACCAAAAGGCATGGCACTCACTGCCCAGGTGAACACGTAACACTGCACAGAGAGAAGCAGTAACAGCGAAGTCCACAGAACTCTTGTATTTATTTGTGTATGAGCATTTAGTTAATGCTCCAAATTAAAAACGGTGCAATAAAAGCAACTTTTAATAATATAAAGAGACAAGAAGCTGCAATGCCAGTGGCCACTCGGAGCTGCAAGTAGGGACAATAAGCAGTCTGCATGAGTGAGGCATGGACTAGGGGAGGAAATAGGAGGGACAAGAGGCACATTTCAAACAGACAGTGACACGAAACTGTTGTACTGCTGGATGTTTCGTTTGAGGATATCTGAGCATGGACCAAGGACACGTTCAAAACGAGGTCGGTCCAGCTTAACGCACTTCAAGGGCCCACGTGAAACCACAGTGGCAGCACGAGGACGATTCATCAGTAGTGCAATTTCACCTGGAAAAGGGAAAGGGACAGTGTAAGAGCAGGCCAACTCCCACAGAAACATTTCCCAAAAAAGTGCACTTCTGAGACAATAACAAAGGTTTGTTTCCCCAATTACTGCGTACAGGCCACACAACTGTACATTACAAAAAAACCCAAAAAACAACAACAAAAAAAAAATGAGTGGGGATTTAGCTCAGTGGTGCTGCTGCCTGCCCTGGTTCTGAGCACAAGGTCCTGAGTTCAATCCCCTGTACCAAAAAAAGGCATGAATTCTAATTGCCCAGACATTACACGGACACAAATCCCAGGGAGCATACAGTGATGCACCCTGACCCAGGTAAAACACAGCTTTATCCTTTAGGGCCACTGCTGCCTTTAGTTCAGTGGTGCCACCACCTGCCTCTAAAGTGCAAGGTCCTGAGTTCAATCCCCGGTACCAATAAAAACCTTTTCAAAGCCCGCTGTGGTACTGCACACCTGTAATTCCAGCATTTGGGAGTCTGAGGCAGGAGAACACAAATTCAGGGCCAGCCTGACCTACACAGAGTTCAAGGCCAGTCCAGACCACACAAAATTCTGTCTCAAAAAACAAATAAAGTATCAACTAATAGATAAGATAATAATGCAATTATTAACTGAATAGGGATCAAAATCTCAATACTATTTTCTGAGAGCCAAAAAAGCAATTAAAATGTAAAATTCAGAAATAAATATCACAAGTTTTCTTCTACATGTGGGATCTATAGAAAAAAAAGAGATGGCATGAAAGTAAAAGGGAGACTATTAGAGAAGAAGGGGACCAAGGAGAAGAGGGAAAGAGAGGGTGGACATGAGGTTATGCTCAAAGCACGGGAATGCAATGAAAACATCACACAATAAAATCCATTATTCTACTAATAAAAATAAAATTAAGAAAAGACAAAATTGGGCCAGGGATTTAGCTCAGTGGCTCTGCCACCTGCCATGCAAGCACAAGGTCCTGAGTTCAATCCCTTGAACCAAAAAAAAAAAAAAAAAAAAAAAAAAAAAAAAACAAAAACAAAAGACAAAATTATGAAACAGTACAATGCTTCACTGTGCAATAACTTAAAAAGTACAGAACGTATTTAATATGAAGTAACCTAACATACCAAAATAATCAGAAGGCCCCAATCTTCCCACTTCAACAAACTCTTCATTTTCTGAACGACGTTGCAGCACAGCAGCTGTCCCCTGTAAGAAAATCACCAGAAAGCTAAACAAATACTCTCTAACCCAAAGTGGCATTTTAAATATCCTGTGCAACTTGCAGAAAATGGAGGAGTGGGGGAAATCAGTGGCTATTCCAATATATCTGTGTTCACATGGTAAAAGAAACTGAAGTTATGTCTCCATATCAAGTTTGATTTCTATTTAACCAGCATCCCTTGCTTGCAAGCTTCTTATCAAGCTAAGGTACCTGCTAACCACACTTCGTTAGCAAACTACAGACCAAACTCAATTTTTGTCTGTTTTGTAAATAACGTGTTATTGTAATACCACATCCACTCATTTATGTTTCTATGGCTGCTTTTGCACTATGACAAGTTGAATTTGCTTTGAATTTGCTATTTGGATACACATGACAGGTTAGATTCTCTACTGCACACTTCCAAGAATTGTGAAGATATAAAACACAGTAACTTTCAGAATTAACCATCTTTGAGCCTGATTTATCATCAGATACCACAAACAGCTGCATTTTAACAAGGATGGTGCAGAATCATTAGTTTGTTATACTGCTGAGGTTTTCTTTTTGGCTTACATGATAAAGAGCAATTGTGTAATTCACTACTTGGATACTTGTGTCCAGCATCCTTCCAGAATTATGACTCAAATGCTTATAGCTGTCAGAAAAGCCAAATAAATGCATTTCAAAGTAAAAGATAATTTACAAGTAAACTGTCGAGATATTCTCAAAATTTAAAGCTGTAAATCAGAATTAGCTCTTTTTCCACTTATGGTATACAACTGTGTAAATAATCAAATGTCAAGTTCTTCACCTCTAATATAATGAAGAACTCATCCCCTGGTTCTCCCTGAACCACAATCTTCTGCCCATCTTCAAACTGGACCGGTTCCAATGCATCAGCTACTGTGAGACGCTCCCACTTGTCCAGTGACTCTAAAAGACAAGAATCCGAAGAATTTCTCTAGGTAACTTGGTGATGCCAAAAATTTTTAAACAAAGTATACAGAGATTCAACCAAATAGCCATTCCCCATCAATACTTTGGTAGTGTCTCTGACAAAACACAGCCAACATTCAACAGAATCCCCATTACTTGCAGATGACTCCTAGATACTTTAGCAGCCAGGTTAATTTATACCAACTGCACCCAACAGCAAAGGAGCAAGAAAACATGACCATTAAGATTGCCAGCAACACAAACTAAACCTACAATTGTACTGTCCAAAAATAATACTTTCACCACCCATATTTTTCCAAAGGTTCACACAAATAATTTACCCATTAAAATCCTCAGTTGAAATTATGAAATAAGAACAAGAAAATAATATTTGTTCCCAAAGGAACTGAGACACTGAGTAAATGTGACTATTTTAAAGGATAAATAAGGAAACAAAAAAAGGGAGGGGGGAAAAGTCAAATCACAGAATCAAAACAAAGGGCAAAACTGTTGGTCCTGGCGAGGAAAGGATACCAGGACAGACTCAGACGACGGCTCTGGAGGTCAGTGGCCACTGTGACACCAGGTTGAGCTCCTGCTTTGACACCCTGAGGTCATGTCCAAGTCACTAAGGGAGACAGGTAGAGCCTATCCCACCTTTACAACTTTTGGAATCTCAAGTTACTTTGAAATAAAAAGTTTCTGTATGAAAAGGGGGGGGGCAAATGATTATCACTTACTTATTCCTATCCCTCCCTCCTAAACCATAAATTCTAATGTTTCCCAGTCTACATAACAAAACACACAGAAGGGTCTCCAACTAACCTGCTTTATTATAAATTTCAATACGTCTGGCACGTTTGCAGACAGTGTCAGCAAATGATATCTAATCTTTCTACAGAGGAAATGCATTCCTGGAAATACTTTCCATCCAGAACCAATGAACTCAGTGACAGAACAAGAGATGGAAAATGTCCCAGCCAGACTAAGGGTCTGTCTGTAGTCAGAAAAGGAGGGCCCTTTTTATTTTTGGTGGTACTGGGGATCAAACTGGGGTCCCTGTGCTTGCAAATCAGGCAACGGAACCACTGAGTTAAATCCCTGACCCAGGAGGACCCTTTTAATACTTCTGTCTTTTTAGGAAGAATGAGCAGCAGTTATACTTTCACAAAGCTTTTCTCAAGTCCAGTTACAGGATTAACAAACTCAACCCACTCTACAATTACTTTTAACTTAGTCAAACTTTCAATACTGTTCAAAAACATTTCCACATGCTTTTCATTACTATTAGTAAAAATATAAATCAGTTCTCTTTTTAAGATAACAGGTTCTGCTGAGTATCATTAATACATTAGAGGTTCTCCATACAAACTTTCCAAAACTCACCTAAAATAGACACTTTGCTAAGGAACTCTTCATACATTTTTCGCTTTCTCAGCGTGCTTCCCTATAAATTTAAAAAAAAAAAATTATTATACAGTGTTGTGAAGTAAGTTTGAAATAAATTTTTTTTAAAAAGTAAAGCTGCTGCTGCTGCTTCTGGACTTGTGATTATTTTCCTTCATGCTGAAGACGATGAGCTCCTACTCAACATACAAAGTTCTTTGTTACGTGCTCCCAAGAGGAACACCAGATATCTTAAGTATACAGCACCACCAAGCAGTGAAATGCCAAATAAGCAAAAGGTCAGTTCTCCAAAACCACCGAGTAATACATGAGCAGCAGCTGGCAATACTCCCTACACAAAATGCTTCCCCAAAACCCCAACCACTCACATAGGGGAATAAAACTGCTGCCACTTACAGATTCAAAATAAGTGCCCCACTACCCCAAACACAACAAAGTTGTCTTATCTACAAAGTGTGTCAAATGTATCTGAGAGAAAAAAAGAAAGGGTGAAACATACTTTCCATTATAGTAAGACTTCCTTATATAGTAAAATGCCTTAGCACATCCTCCCTGCCAAAAATATACACACCTACATACATTATCTATGTGTATGTATACCTGTAACACCCATATGTACAGTCTGCACTCCGCATCCACAAATTCAATCAAATGCAGATTAAAAGTATAGAAAACAATTTTATCTGTACTCAACATGTACACTCATTGTGATGTTACTCTCTAAACAATATAGTACAACAACTATTTACTTAGCATTTACTTTGTATTAGATGTCAGTAAATAATCCAGAGATGATTTAAAGAATGAAGAAAAAGGAATCTTTCAACATTATTAGTGGAAAGGTAAACTAGTATAACTACTATGGAAATTCCACAAATAAACTAAAACTAGAAATTTGATTTGACCCAGATAGTCCCCTCTTAGGTATCACCTAAAACAAGTTAAATAAAGCATCACACTACTGTGACATATGCATACTTGTGTTTACAGCAGCACACTTCATAATAGCTAAATTGTGGAAGCAGCCTAAGGAAAATGTACTATTTACACACAATGCAATACACACTGCTCTGCCATAAAGAAAGGTAAACCTGAGTCATTTGTAGAAAATGGATGCATTCTGAGACCATGTTTGATGAAATTTTATAAATCAGACACACAAGCATAAATGTAGCATGGCTTCTTGTATGAGAAACCTAAATTATAAATAAAGAGCAAAATTTTAAAGAGAAGTAGATCTTTTCTCAAATGGAAGGGGATCCAGAGATGGATGGGAGGGGGAGGAAGAAGAGGGAAAAGGATGAAAAAACGGAATTAAGGTGTTATTTACACGTACCAATTCCACAAAAGGAAGGTAAACATTTTGTATTGCATGTACGTACTAGTAAAAAAAATTTTTTTAAGTATACAGAGAATGTGCACAGGCTATACGAAAACACTACACCACTTTATGTAAGGGACTTGATCATTTACGAATTTTAGCATATACACAAGGGCTTCAGAAATAAAGGAAGACTTATTAATTTATATATATCTTGAATACCAAAAATATTGAAGTACATCAGACTGCATATTTCCAAATGCCCAGATGGGTTCTGCAAAATTTAAGAAAACCATTCAGAAAGGCCAATGCCATTAGCTAAGACCGAAACATCCAAAACTAGAATGCCCTGATACTTTTATTATTTCAAAACCCTAGTAAAAGGGGACGTGGTATATGTATTACTGACAACCCATTTTCAGTTTAGAGATGCTAAGTACTTCTGAGTGATTTAAACTTTATGCACTTTAAAGTAGGCAATCTGTCAGGCAATCTGTGCTGGGTAAGATTAGGTGTGTGTATTAACATGCACCTATGGGCAAATTGGCAAGATTTCTAAAGAAATCTTTCTAAAGTAATCTGACCATTACATACACACATTTTGTTTCCTATGTTATTTCTGGCCAAACTTTTGCTCTAAAACATCATTGCCCCAAGTGACATAATGACTAATGCTAAACAGGGCTCAATGCAAAATATCCAATCATTAAAAATAAGGCACATTGTCATTTCAATTTTGTGATATTATTCAAACATTATGTACACAGATCAGAATCCTAAGTCACACTCCAAAAGCCCATGGTGTCTTACCATAAGGATTCTTCTATAGCTGTCTCGGTCGATACCCCATAGTTTCACATTTGTCTTTGCTTTGACAGTGGCTGCTCTAGGTGTTCCATAAATCAAAGCCAGTTCTCCAAAGCTCCCTCCTTCCCCAACACTGGTTGCCCATTCATTGTTCACATACACCTAAAATACAAAAGACATCAAAGAAGCATTTTTCTCTACATGTATACCAGAATGTGTTAAAAATTCTCAAACCTTTATGAAAGATCAGGCTCCTGAACTTATTTAAAAAAAAAAAAAAAAAGTATATATTGTGTTTTCAGAAAAAAGCAAGACAAAATAGTGAGTTCTGACAATGACTTAAATATGAAATTATCTGACATGAAAAAAGTACTCTGAAGAAGTGAAGGGAAAAAGGTCAGCTAAGGAGTAATACCAATGACCTATATTTACTGTACATTTACTGTGCTGAGCAGTGTACCAAGCATTTTACTTGAAACGGGTCACTGAATTTTGTAACAATCCTACCAGATCAGTGCTACTTTTGTTCCCATTTCACTGGTAAACAAGCCTTCCAGATGAAAGCTACACCGTTTCATAGCTAATTGCCAGGTACAGACGCTCCTTTACTGTATTTTGATCTTACTTCCCAGCATACAGTTACTTTACTACTCCGGCAAAAGCTGTACTTACAGAAATTATCTATAAGAAGTTTCTCAGTGTCATAAAAATACTTGGCAAAAGCTGCTGATGCAATCTGACATAAAAGAGCTGTAACAGCCCTTCAGAAACACTATACTTTTTGCTTCTTAGAAGCAATAAAAATCAAAACATAGACTTTTAAGATTATTAATAAATTTCTATTACTAAATCTTACATCCATCTCTCCTTGATCAATCACATAGAAGTTATCCCCTTCGTCACCTAAAAGAGAAAAAGACAAAAAACAGATCAAATTAATACAAATAAATTCATGGTGGTGCTATGACAGAAGAGCACATTAAGATAAACACAATCTCTAAGAAAAGAAATCCAGCAATACATTTTAAGTCACAGAACTGATCAACTTTATTCTCAGTAAGCTCATGTAAAGAGCACCTAAAAAAAAAGTTTAGAAGCTACTTGCACGTACAAAGTTAGTAACTCCTATGTCCTCTTTAACAAGAAATAATTCAAATAGTTAATAGCAAAATATCAGACAGTCACAAAATGGGAAAATATGTGGTTTATGAAGACCCATGAAAATGTCAAGAATAAGAGAAGATAATCTAAAAGGTTATATTCATGTCAATCTGTGTAGCAATAAAAAGTAAGAATCTGTAGGAGACACAAAATCTTACAAATAGATGGCCTACATAATAAAGAATATAGGTACTTCATTTCTTATTTTAAAAGTGGCTAATAACCAATATAAATATATGAGATCGATATTGTTCTGAAATTCCCTGTAACATTCAACTTAAAAGCAGGCATTTCCTTTAACAAGTATAAACAAAATTGTATCAGAAATGTTAATCCCTTAATGTATTTTAGTCCAAGAATTTTTAATTAAGAAAATCCAATAGTATTAACAGAAAGTAGAAGGATCAAAGAAGAAAACAAACTCCCTAGAAAACTAAAACAATCAATCCTCCACTCTCATCTGCTCTTCCATAACCACACTACATGTCACAGAAACAGCAGCCCTTACCTTGCTGAATAACCGTTTCTCCAGCAATAAAGGAGACTGGAAACATGGCATCAAAAATATCACTGCAAGAGACAGAAGGCCTAATCTTAGCTTTCACAAGTCTCTTCGGGAGAATTCCAGTATTAACCTAGAATTAAAGCTCCCAGTTTTTCAACTCAATTGTCATTTTTGGTGAACAACTAAGAGCCTCAAAACTTACAATAATGCTGACAATAGTTTGAGACCACACCCTAAATGAAAAACAGTATTTAAAAAAGAACCTGTTCTTACCTTCTTTCATTATCATCAAGATGTGAAAACAGCACATTTTTTTCAATGGCTTTGGCTAAAGCAGCCATTGTCTTATAATCTTTTGGTATGACCTAGAAGAGAATTGAAGGTCAAATGAAATTCCATATATCAAAAAACATTTCATGTTGGCAATGTACATTTCAATTAAATGTCAGGCCACAGTACAGTATTTTAAAAAGACTGTTTTGAGTTAAATATTTTCACTATAACACATTTAGACAATCGACTCACAAAGTACTCAACCAGTACTGACCTATCACTCCCTTTGCCTATAACCAGGCATGTGATTAAAGGCCAGTACTTGGTTCCCAGTTAACAACTAAACAAACCAAAAAATGACCAACCAGCATTATTATTCTGAGACAAAACTAAGTGGTTTCAATTTTGATTTTAAGGTGGTAGTGGGGACCAGGACCCTTGCACTAAGCTACATCCCCAGTCCTTTTTATTTTCTTTAGGGCATAACACTGGGTTATAACAACCTATCCCTTATTTTTCTACTGTAAATTTTTACTTTAGCTTAATAGTAACCTGCTGTGTGTCTCAGTAGCTGCACATGAGGGATACCGGAAGCAGTCTTTGCGTTACACACACTTGGTATGATTAACAGCAAGGTGTGTGCACATATGCAAGTGTCAAACCAGGATTTTTACCCACATAATGCTTGGATAAAAGGTTTTGCATATGTTTACCTAAGCAATTCAGGAAGTAAAACACACCCGACACCACTCTTCTGCTATGAAAACATGTATTTTAGAGGACAACCCACTTTCCGGTCCCACTTCTGTCTCTCTCAGACAGAAGCTTTCTTCCCCTCAATAAATTTTTCCTACTCTTAAAAAAAAAAAAAAAAATACATGTATTTTACCAGAATGGAATGTGGGTGTAACTCACAGTAGCTGCACCTGGGGAAAGCAAAAACCCATCTGTGTGTTCACCCACTTGGCAGACAAACAAGGTGTATACAGAACCTCCAAAGCAGTAACAGGTGAGTGTTACCCATGAAATGCCCACTGCTAAATTTCTGTGCATTTAGGATTTATATCAAAAAAAGTTTTCATTTGATTTTTCTGGTATAAGTAGCCCAATCCTATACAATGGCACATGAAAAACCAGATTCGCAAGTTTCAGAGGAGGCTCAAAATGAATCATCATATTACTCATGCATGGATGATGATGATGACGACTCTGACTTTGGCCATGTGAGCCAAAGTTCTTGGGACAGTGAAATGGAGCAAGAATCAACTGATATACATCCAGGACATGCAGACCCCCTTGACTCAGATAACAAAGAAAACAGTGATATGAATACCTATTTGACTAGTTGAAATAGTACAAAATGGTCATGCCACCAGATGGAATGATCCAATATTAGAACTAGGTCCAAAAATACAGTAGCGATCTTGGCAGGGATGAAACCTATAAGACAAAATGCCAGCCTTGCCATTTAATGCAAGATTGTTTGTAACAGGATACTGTGAAATACACAAATGCTGAAATACATGTAAAACTTTCTGTATGCACCAATAGCCATACTAAAAAATGTATCATGACCCCTTACTAGCTGAGCTGAAAGAATTCTTAGGTCTGCTTTACTTAGCAAGGCTTTCTTATGGTAATCACAGGAATGTAAAAGACTTATGGAAAAACAAGGGTGTGAGGGTTTGTAGCACACCAATGACACTGAAGAGATTTGGTTTCCTTCAGAATTGCCTGAGGTTTGATGACAATATCACCCAAGAAAACAAAAAGTGATGATCTAGCTGCTATCAGCTCAGGGTTTGAGAGATTTGTGGATAACTGTCAATCTACACACCACCTAAATACACAACTACTGATGGACACCTTGCAGCATTTCCGTGGTCATTGTAGCTTTAGGCAATATATGTTAAAAAAATCCTTTCAAAATATAGCATAAAAATGTATTCCTTTGTAGATGTGAAGACTTAATTATGATTTCAATTTAGAAATTTATCCTGGAACTCAACCACCAGGTCCTTTTTCACATAGTAATAAACCAAATGATGTCGTCGTGAACAGCCTTGTTGCTCCCATCTCCCAAACCAACTGGAATGTGGCAGTCAATAACTGGTTTATCGGTTTTCAACTGAAGCTCCATTTGCTAACAGAGAACAAAGTTGAACAGTTCAAAAACTACACACAGAACAAAGCAGAAATTCCAAATGAAATACTGCAATTTTGAAACAGAGAACTGTATAGTACAGTTGTTGGACTTCAGAAAGATGTAATATTGGCCTTATATATGGCAAAGAGAAACAAACTAGTACTGATATCAACACTGCACCATAATGGAAATTTTGATAGGGAAACCTTGAGGAAGCCTGAGATGCTTAACTTTCTACAGCAAGACCAAAGGCAGCTAGATGCTGTTGATGTTGGCCAACGGTTGTGTTTTACTCATTCCTCAACATGTGTGGCATATTCAGTGTGATAGTTTACAAAGAAGATAACAAGTGGAAAATACCAGAGAAATTTTATTAAAGGACTAGGACTGAAATTCATAAGAGATCATTTACAGCAGAGGAAAAACAAAATGTTTCTGCCCAGGGAACTACACAAAAAAATTGTGGAGCACAATGGTGAGCTGACAAGTAAACAGGCCAGCAGGTATCTCAAAGAGCTACTACAACAGCAGGAAAACCAAAATGATTATCAACTGTGCCCAACAAAAAGGAGAGAAAAAAAAAAACATATGTGCTATCAGTTTAAGTGATACTTGCATATGAAACAGGCAGTTTTCACGTGTGAAGATTGCCTTGGGTGTGACAGTTAAAGCAAAAGATTTCTGCGGTAGACTTTTGTTTGTATTTACATTGTAGTTCACACAGGCTTTTATTTCTGATGTTATGTTTTAGGTTTTGTAAGCAAGTAAACAGCTGATGTGAAAATGTTTATTCTAAATAAGCAATACATATTAAGAATACTTTATTTTACAGATATTTTATGTTCCTGTTAAGTACACACTAAGAACTTCCTGACAAAACTGCAAGATCAATGATATCAAGTATGTCCTACAAAAAGTCCAGAAAAGCAAAACGTTATGTGCTGTGTGACACATGTGTATGGAACATGTTATTATCACGTGTGAAGAGTGCAATAGCTGTGATAAATGAAAGTGCAGATTTATGTTTTCAGTAGAGTTTTGTAGAGAAGGTTTCTTTTGTTTTGTTTTTTTTGGTCCCGGGCGATGAAACTTGAGACCTTGTTCTTGTGAGGCAGGAGGCAGCACCAATGATCTAAATTCCTGCCCCTCCATTGGTATTTTCATTGTAGTTCATATAGGAATTTACTTGTTATTTTTTAGACTTTGTACAACAAAAAACAGTTGATATTGAGAATTTTTTTATAAACAATAAATATTATTCAATACTTTGATATTTTTTCCTATTAAGTACTTTTTTGGGGGGTACCAGCGATCGAACTTGGGTCCTTGCTCTTATAAGGCAGGCAGCAACACCACTAAACTAAATCCTCGGCCCTCTGTTAAGTACTTATTATTTAATGTACTAAAACTGACAAAATTAAAATAATAGAAATATTCTAAAGAATAAACATGGGTATTATACTCATACAAAAATGCGCCCTTATGACAAAATTGGCATTATGCCCCAAGGGTTAAAACAGGGTCTCACTAAGTTACCCAGCTGGTCTCAAACTTGGGATCCTCTGGCCTCAACCTCCCAAAGTGCTGAGACAAAAGGCAAGCACTACCATGCACAGCTAAAACTAAGTATTTTTTTAACTGCTATCTTTTTTTTTGTACTGTTAGTTTTACAAGCCACAAGGGCTTAGAATTCTAAGCCCCACTCCCCTGTCAAGGCTATTAGCATAACACAAAATGGCCAGCAGGCTCTGAGAAAGATCAGAGTAGGATGAATGACGATTGTATGATAAGAGATTAAAAGTCATACATGAATTGCTGCACAGAGTATCAAAAGCTGGCACTAGAATATAAGAGAAAAAGGAGTACTTCCTGCTTCTTCAACAGCAAAACAGCAGGAAATAAGAAACCACCAAAATGCAGCCACGTATTATACTGGTTTATAATCACTCTTAGTTATTTCCTCTGCTGTCATGCTATTATAGAAATCAATTCTCCAGTGTTCAATAACTACTTTTGTTTTTATTTAAAGTAGTACATGCACTCATCAAAGGAGACTAGATTGTCAAGTGGGTCCCAAAAACATTTCTCAAATGTTGAAATATCAAAACTACCTTTCTAACATATGATGCAGCATCTTCTTCCGTGTAGACTTCTGCACTGATAGCACCACGTCGCCGGCGACCCTTCACCACTGGGTTTGGAGGAGGAGGAGAGATTTCATCCTCTCTTGAGTCTGTACGGGTACCTGCTTTCTGCAGATTCTGAATCTGCTTTGCCTCCTCCTGAAAGAAATTACAGGTATAGAAAAGAAGATGCCTCAGAACCACCATGTGAGGTTGATATGCTTGTATTCCAATAACAATCCATCAAAAATCACTTCAAATCTCTTCACCTAGTGCCAACGTTAAGGAGAAAATGCTAACTCCAAACGGGAAAAAAACAGAAACATCTGAAAAGAAGATTATTGGCATGAGACTGTTTCTTCGACAATAACAGATTAGGTATTTTTAATAGTCAATGTAAGTCATTAGCACAAGGACACAGAACATAAATAAAAAATCAGATGTTCATTTTAATGATGCATTGACAGCAATGATTTATAATGCAAATAGCAATATATTGTAAAATAAAATCCTGAAAACTAAGGGTCTTTTCTAAGTAAGACACCCCCACACACAAAAGCACCTAATCCAAGAATAACAACTCAAGCAAAGTAAACTAATCCAGCAATGTCTAGATTACTGAATTACCTCATGAATTCAATGAGCATTTACTGAATTTGCCATGTCACAATCCTTGCTAAGCAATGAGAATATGAAAACAAAAGGTCCAGAGCCTACAGAATTCCCATTCTGGCCTGGATCCCAAATACTGAGAAAAAATGAAGTAAAGATAACCAATAATGAGAAGTGCTTTAGCAATCTTCCTCCAGCAAAGCTTTTTTTCTTTTTGGTACTGGGGATTGAACTCAGGAACTTGCGCTTGTATGAGGCAGGCGGCAGCACCACTGAGCTAAATCCCAGGCCCAGCAAAGCTTTATTATCAGAGCTCACATCTGAAGTTAAAGAGTAACTTGCTTTTTAAAAACTGTTCCTTATTGAACCAATTCAAATAAAAATTGAGATCAACTATTAAACATCCTTTTTTCTCAAATCTAAAGCCTTAAAAAGCAATTCTTCTCAGTAAAAAATAATTACGACTAAAGTAAAATGGAAAAAATAAGAACATGTATCTTCTACTTTTTCATTCATTTGCCCTATTATTCATTATTTTTCTAAACTACCTTTCAAATTTTAAGTGAACTTAGCATTTAAAATGATTAGAAAAAAGAGTGATAAATAAGAATTTGAGATGCCAGATTTTGGGGGAGAAGATGTTGTGGTATTGGAGTTTGAACCCAAGGCCTTCACACTGACCTCCTTCCCCTACCCTAAAGGTTTTTGGGTTTTTGTTTGTTTTATTTTGTTTTTAATTTCAAGACAGAGCCCCTAAATTGCCCAGAATGGGCAGGAACTTGCCATCCTTCTGATTCAGCCTCCCATGTGCATCACTACATCCAGCCCTCGGCTCTGCTTTGGGAATTCAAGATAAATACAAAACTTCCACTGTACATATTTGGCAAGCCTAGAAGGGTAACCATCAGAGGTATTAACAGTGTTCATTGCTATTAGAAGCACTGCCTGCTTTTTCCTTTTTTTCAGAGCAAAGAGCTGTGCTTATTTCTCTTTCTCTGTTTCCCCTCCCCCTTGCCATGCTGGAGTTAAATCTGCACTGAGTCACATCCCCAGCACCTTTTCTTTTTTTTTCAATTTTGGTAAGTGCCCAGACCTTGCAAATCCTCCAGCCTCCCAGAGTGCTGCAATTATAGTTGTGCACCACCACACCCAGCTCAATTAAGAAAAACCACAACAGAAAAAAATAACTTTAATAAATTTGTATATCTAATTGCAACTGTATTTACTACCTTTCCTCTGTTTTTTGTGGTACTGGGGATTGAACACAGAGTCTCTGCACTCAACTACAACCCCAAAACCTTTTTATTTTGAGATAGGGTCTAAGAAATTAAGCAAGCTGGGCTCAAACTTGCAATTCTCCGCCTCAGCCTTCCAAGGTTTACAGGCTACCATACTATGCCCAGTTTGTATTTATTTCTTGACTCAATAGCAATTCTGCTTCCAGAATTTACGCTAAAATATACACATATATAAAATAATATATCCACAAAAATATTTGTTCTATTAGTGTTATTAGTGAGATATTGGAAGGAACCAAACTGTGATCAGTAAGGATGACTAAATATAGTATAGCCATACAATGGAATGTCATACATGTGTTAGAATGAATAGGAAGCTTTTTATATGTCATTTTGTCTGTAAAGCCCATATAATATCCCCCCCCAACACTGGCTTCTTCCAATAAAGGCAATTTGGGTGGGAAGGAAACCTTCTACCGTTACACCTTTTTGTACCTGCAGAATTTTGAACCATGTATAAACACGTAACTTATATAAAGACATATTTTTTAGAAAACCACCTCATTCTCATCCCGGTCATTTCAAGAACTAGTAACATTTTCCTATTCTTTATTAACAGAACTATAAAACTCAAGTCTCCCCCAAATTTAAAGAGTACAAATAAAAACACATATTGTATCCCTTAAATCTGCCCTTGGTATTTCAAAAACTTTCATGAAAAAAATTTGCAAATATCATTTGGAAATGTATTTTACTTAACAGAATTTCTGATAATTCTGACGTAACCGAGCATTTTGATTTTAACACTGTTTCCTAAATCATGAGTCAATCTGAATATCACCTAATCTTGATGACTCAGCCATCACTGAGATGGATCATCAACTTCTATTCTAGTACCTACTATGATACATTTTCATATCCTTACTCCTGCTGCTATTATTCAGCTGTCAGTCTCCCTCTTCGGCTTTCACTTACTAAAACAAAACCTGCAGTCTACTTACAGGTTAATTATGCTTTTGACTCTTCTGTTATGTTCTGCGTTATATTCTGCATTATGTTTCTCTACTCTAAAGATCAAATTCTGTCCCTGCCACTTATTTATGTTTACACAGTATTCTTTCCCTCGTTACCCTTGCTTTTCTTCTTTAGGCAAGGTAAATTTCCCACCCCCATAACTTGTGGCTAGGCCCTACGACTTCCTTTGGCCACAGAATGTAAGTGGACCTGTCACAGCATTAAAGCTAGTGTGATCTGGCTCAGCCCCACCTCCACCCCCTTGAGCTTTTGTCCTTTCTCTGCCTTGAGAACAGACTGGCCTATACAGTGGCCCTGCCTTCCACTCAGCCCCAGAACACGATATGTGGAATGAAGACAACAAAATGGCCTGAGCCCAGAAAAGCTGCCTATGACCAAAAAATATAGTCTGGTGACTAAGAAATAAGCCACTGAAATTTGGAGGTTATACAATACTGTAGCAATAGCTGACTTACTCTACTGTAGGACCACAGCCAAGTTACATACTTCTTTTGGCTCTACCTACGCCTCTGTACAGTGGTGATAATCACCTACCTCACACATTTAAAATGAGTCTGCATGCATGTCAAGAGCTTCCCACAGCAGCTGGCACACAGGAGACGCTCAAAGGTGGCAGCTGTTATTATTCCTCTTATCTACCAGACAGGCAAGGTTCTAATAAATACATGCATAAATGGGCGCTCAAACTCCAGACAATGGTCTGAATTAAAATGCAGCGGCTTTCAACAGACAAAATGAGTTTTCTGTGAATTTCTTCTAAAGGATCCTGAAAAGTAATCCCCGGGTAAGGAGGAATGAGGCAGTAAGAATGTGACAGGATTTAGACATATATAATATATAAAAAATGGCCTGTTAAAAAGCTGAAAAATCTAGTCACATTAAAGTCCTCGTGTGTGTGTGTGTGTGTGTGTGTGTGTGTGTATTCACCTTAGCTAAAGGAGTGCATGCAAAAGGCACATTAAGCTGTAACTTTTACTCAGAGATTTTTAAAAAGGCCAACACATTAAATATAAAAATCTCATATGCAAAGAAACCAACCTAATAATCATTTCTTGCTTTCTACCTTGGTTAATCCTTAAACAGACCTGTGGTAAATACAGGCTTTGAAACTAGCAGCACCACACATTCAATACTCCCTATAAAAAGATACACACTTAATGTCTCACCAACTTAATCCCCTCATTTGATGGTTTCTATTGATGTCCAAAGAAGAAGGATCACCTTACAGTGACCTATTTCAGAACTAGATCTCCAGGAACGCACTTGATTTCAAAACAGGGAACACTCATGGCCTGGCTCCACAGTACTTCCACTATTTGGAAACTGCTTAAATAAAAGAAAGCCAGAATTTCTAAAAGGATTCCAACCCAGCAAGCAGATATTCATAAGACTGGTTAGCAACTGTTTTTTTCATTTTTCAATTACTCTAATCATGATATTAAATACCAATTTCAATAGTTTTCAGGGAAACAGAAAATACCTCCTCACTAGCAAACATTTTTCAAAATCTTAGTGTACAGATTCAATTACTAATAAATTAGATGGTAACAAATTGCCCAGACCACCATTTCTATTATACAACTAGATAATTAATGATCGTGTATCAAAGAAATATCCCTCAACTACTTCATGCTCATTGTATCTTTATTGTAGTGATTTACAAAAGCAAACCCTCATTTCTGAGGGAAGCAATCACTCTCCCTGATGCAAAATTGTCATCTTCCTTAGAAATGGACATCGCGCTGACATACACACAATGATGAAAAATAGGGGAACAAGCCCTTAACAAACCTACAGGGTAAAATTTGACAACCATCAATCTTGCATCTCCAGAACAAATTCATGTAGATATACTCTACAGTCTACAGTAAGAGACTTCACTAATTTCTGATGTATCAGTCACAAGCTAGAACCAACTGTTTAATTAGACCAGTTTCAAAAGGTAGAATAAGTTTAAGTTTGCTTGCTTTGTTGAAAACGAGCACTACTACTGTACTATTCCTCATCAGTTTTATAAAAGGTCTTATGTGCTTATTAAAACAGTTACAAGGAACATACCTGGAAACTCTTCACCAGCCAAAGTGAACTTAGCAGACAGACACATTTTCTGATAAATTCTACTGGTTCAGAATTTTTCAATTACAAATATTTTAACTGCATTTTTTTTCCTTTTCTGGAGACAGGGCCTTACTATGTAGCCCAGGCTGGCCTCAAACTTACAGCAATCCTCCTGCCTCAGCCTCCCAAGTGCTGGGACTACAGGCATTCACATCTGGCTTACCTGCATTTCTCATTTAAATTTTTTCCCAAATTCTTTGATCAGAAATCTTTTTCTTTCAAAAGGTGCAAATCAGCAACACTCCAAAGTATTAATTTTAACAACTGTCAGGGTCATCATATTATCTCCCCACGTTTATTATTACCTTCTCCAACCTCTCAAAGTATTCCCTAAGGAATGCCATGGGCCTCTCAGGTCGAGCAGTGCACAACTGCACAATAGAATCCTTGAGCAGTGCCTGGATGTTGTGCTTCTGGACATAGAGTTCACATTCCCGGAGACTGCGCTCCTCTTCACTGGCGGCAGTACTGCCAGACGCCATGGTTCTCTGCAAGAAAAAAACACACTTATGTGTGTGTTAAATATTTATAAAGCACAAACACTAATTTGGCCTCTGACTATCGGAAATTGTTTCCTTGCTAAATAGGACAGAGACTGCAGTAAAACAAAACTTGCATTCTTCCAAGTAAGTGCTTCATTTATTTCCTGTTGTAGGATCTGGGCTCTGTGGGAAAGAGAGAGGCAGTATCTTCAGCATAAAGCCACCATCCCTGCAGAGGCAGGCTGCTAAGGAGTCAGGCCCTTAAGGGAATTTTATTAAGATCTCTCTAGCAAAAGAAATCATGATGACGTGGGAAATGTGTAAATGGTAAACAGGACAGAGAATTCCAAGGGCACACAAGCTCTAAATGAAAGCAAGGCAGCACAATGAAAAACATCTGACGTTTTCCCTTAGACACTCCTATCCCATGGGAGTGTCCAACCGTCACACCACAAATCACTTGCAAAGGAACTGATTAACCAACTATTAGCATAAGCAAAATTTTTTTAAATCCAAAACTTCAGATGAGTTTTAAAAGCAAACTTTTATTTTGAAATCTTTTAGCAGATCCCAGCCCTAAGTGATATACTTACCTACTATGAGGGGAGTAAGGTGCGTGAAAGTTGAGGGGACCTTATCAAATGTTTAAAAATATCTTTACCAAGAAAATTGTGAAAACATTTTCATCTGGACAGGAAAATATTAAAATACATGTTTCAAACCTACGTGATGAGTCAATAAGCTACATTTAGTAGATCATAAAACTAGACTGAAATGAAGTAAATAAAAATATAACAATAAGCAGCTAAACTTACCCTAGAATTTAAAACTCAGTAATTTAACTGGGCCATTCGTACACTATTTTTCTTCCAATTCATACTTACTAAGAAATTAAGATTAAGATTAGAAGTGTTCCCCTCAACACTGTAACTAAATACAGTATTAATCAAGTTTCTTATAGTGCACACAAAACAACTCAGAAAAAACATAAATATCAGAATAAAGAGCTTTTCTAAATGCTACACTACTACTTTGTTTTGACAACTTTCACAGTAAGGGTCAATAACAAATAGATTAATTAACAGACCACGAGAAAATTTGTGGTCCGGGACAAGCCCATACATTAGAAGCCTTGGAAAAAGAGCCATGCTGCTACTTCAGGAATAAACACTTAAAATGTTTATTCTGCACTATCCACTTTTCCAGGACAGGTAAACAAGAAATGAAAAACCACTTCAAGTAGAATTACCTGCATTTCAAATAATACTGAAAGCCACCAAGAACAAAATGATAAATCAGGTTTTTTTTTATGCTTCAGAAACATCAATGCATGCCTTCAATTGATCAGATATTCTAAAATCATATCTTTGGTGGGCAATGATTGGTGGGTCTAAGGGATGAAAATGTTTTTTGTTTGAAACAAACTACTGTATTACAAAAAGCAAAAATATGACACCGGTAAAGACAGTACATGAACAAAATATGCTCCAAGATTAATGCCGTCACCATGTGAACCCATGAATGACCAAATTTCATGGCCTAAATATTTTTAATCAAAAATAACTGAACTGATTCTATATTTGCACTTAAAGAGCCCAACAATATCTTCCTTTCCCCAAAAAATTTAGCTAATTTAAAATCGTCACTGCAATTAAAGAAAACAAAAGAAGCAACTGTCAATACGTAGGTCCATTCTTAAGAAACCAGATTCTTTCGCAGTCAACTGTCATAAAATTTTGCTTAAAAAGAATTAATTTCAGGAAATATTTACAGCATCCCCTAAGCCTGCCTACTAACACTTCCTGAGGGTTATCTCGATGAAGTGGCGAGCTGCCTTCCCTCTGCTGAAAAAGGAGTCCTCAAATACGGTAGTGAGTGGGCTGGCACCACACAAGCACCGAGCCGGGAGGGTTAAAAGGCACCGCGTATATTTTCGAGAGGAAGGGTAGGAAAATGCCCTTAACTCAGGCTACAGTCAGGACTACAAATGCGGAACCCCGCCTTCTATGCTACTAGAAGCTTTGGCGATGAAGCCTCGGGGAAAATCGGGAAAGGAACGGAAGTTAAAGGGGAGGAAAGGAAATTGAGCCAGACGGAGAAAGCCGTGTGGGCGGGGGAGAGGGAGAATAACCCGGGGAAGAGAGGGAAAGTGACTGCTGGAAATGATCAGGAGACTTAGTGCAGACTGTAGCCGAGTACTGCAGCTGGCTCCCAACCTGAACCAGAATCTGGGGGGACACGACGG